ACTAAATAAGCTGGAATTCTGTCACTCTGTCTATTCTAACTGGGTACAAAGTGACTGATGACAATTTGTAAAGGCCATCCATTCATAAGGAAAATACAAACATACTTACGTGAAGCAATCCAAGTTTTCTGCCATTTCATGATGGTGTAATTTACTCTTCAAATAAACTTAAATTTATTTCCTTATGTATCACCCACTTATGAATTACACTTTCTGAAATAACAAGCAATGCAGATCAGCCACTGCAAACAACCCATAAAAAATTCTGAAAACATCCAGATATCAGAGATGAGAGATATATGGGAGATGTTTTGGTGTCAACAGTCTTCTAAGTATGAAACAGCACTGCTCAGAACTGAGAGGGCTAAGACAGGACAGAGTATTTAGACGGTCTAAAAGCTGTGTTAGTGTCACTCAGTAGGTTCCCCTCTGAACTGTAATTTTTAATATTGCTACAATATAGGGACAGATAAAACTGAGGCTATCACTTTGCATGTTTCAATTTTCTCCATGGAGGCAGAATAACCTCTTGAAAAAACAGTTATATGAACACTGCATCTGAAACAAAAAAGTAATTTTGGAATTAACTACTCCAGTGGAATTATTTCACACGGCCATCTATTCTGAGCAAGATCTGCAGCATCATAAACTTGAAATAATATCTTCTATCACAGACACATGCTAGTAAGTAGTCCCACAGATAGTATTAAAAGGCATATAGTACTAATGGAAGACTGAAAGTAGAATTCAACCAGATCGACTAGCAATAGAAAAAAAAAAAGTCAGATATCTACCCATGATTTCCCATATCAATTTATGCAGTTTTATGTCCAATTTTCCTTCTTAGAAAAGAAAAAAATCAACCCCTTTTTCTCATTCCAACTAGCTGTATAAAAAGGAAAACAGCTAAAACACCCAATCTTGCACATAAACACAGATTTAATTCTCCCACCTGAAGCAAACTAATCACTGGCTTCCAAAGCGTTTGAAAGGCCAAACTTAAAAAACTGATTATAAACCAACAGAACTGAAAACTAGAGAATGTCTTAAAAGTGTTCATTTTTAAAAAGGGCAAATTGTTGTTTCCCCTACCCCCAGCCCCTTTTTAGCAATTACAATATTATTTAAAGACATCACTAGGGATACATTTGAAGAGTTTCGCCCTAGACTACACAAGAATCTTTATGTTGTTTCATCTGTTATTGTGAATCTCAGAAAATCCACCAAAACATAAGCAAAGTCAAAGAAACTGTATTTCAGGAGAAGAACCAATTGTGATCCTTGAAAATCTGATTTTTCGTAATACTGACACACAAAATTAAAAATAGAAAAATGCAGAATTTCTTCAAGTAAAGTGTATCCTGCTGCACTGCTAACAACCATTACCTAGGAAAGTAAGTGAAAATATGACACCCTCGTATTTGTCATGTGCTTAAAAGCTCATCAGTATCTACTGAGTGCTTCAATATAAAGCATAACACATACTCATATAACATCCATACACCTAGAGTTATGTTTTCAAGTAACAGTCCATGGGCTAAGCCAAAACGAAATGTTCCTCTGGATCAGTCTGTAGTAACTTTCTTGTGCTACTCAAGAGGAGATGCAGACAAGAGCCAGGACTTCAATCCCACTCCAGCTCAGCCCAGTATGACATTGCTTTACCCTTCCTTCTCTAGCTTCTGGCCCACACCTTATAAACTGTTAAGAATCTTGATCTAGGTGTTACTGGCTATGCCCCATCAACATCCTTGAGAATATGTACAGAAATTCCCCACTCCAGCCTGTATTACATGTGACCAGAAATCCAATTCCCTCCCATGGTTTGATGCCAAGACATGGCCCCAAAATCCTTACACTAGGTCTCTCACAGAAACACTGGATGGTGGATGAAAAGCACCATTATCTTCCCACAATAAATGATTTAACATGCAGCTGTCGTAAGAGAAGCCACTCTATATATTGGCTGTAAGTGGTTTTCAGACCTTGCCCTAAAAACTAAAATATAACTCAGGATCTTTTCCCAGGCACTGTGATTTCTATCATGAATTTTATATGACAATTCACAAAATCCCAATGTAATAAAGTCCTTCCAAATGTGAAGGGAAGCACAATGTCCGATAATTGTTTCACTTAGGATTACATTTAAAAACTGTTTGTTAAGGAAAATTTCTAGAAGAAAACTCCCCACTAACAGGGTAAGATTTCTGGAGGAGATGCACACTGGCAGATGTGCTGAAGTTCTTCTAAGGAATACGATGCTTCTCTCAAAGCTGCTTAAACTTGATTTTATTTCAGGTCTGCAACTAAATTTTTTTTGTAAATAGATTTAGGCTGTCAATTTCCAGGCATGCTGTGCCATCAGCATGTAGAGACTGCTGTGACAAACGTGGAGGCTGCAGCAGCAAATTTTATTATAAACTGGTAATTGAATTGAACAGGTTTACATTTGAATAGATTTACTGCAGCATGATCTCTGACATGCTGCATGGGACTGAAATCCTTGTCTGTACCTAAAGAAACGTTTAAGATACAGCAGGAATTATTTCAGCTCAGTGTAAGTCCATGCTAATCAATAAATTCACACCACTTTACACATGAAAGAAGTAAGTATATCATCTTTCTTCATTCTGTGCATAAAGGATGTGGTCAAAGCCAAAACCTCATCTCCAGACTTTCCCATAGGTAAAAACACCACCACCTGTCTCCAAAACTACCTTCCAACAAGAACAAAAGAAAAAAATATCTCTATTCCATGCACAGTGCTAAAAGTGTACCACGAATCACTATGGTTTCAAAAGTAAAAGTGGCCACTAAAGCAGGAAAGAAAACAAAACGCCCTTGGAGGTCCTTTTAGGTTGTCCTATTAGGCGGTAGATAAGCAATACCTGAAAAGAAGATAAGCTAACTGTCCCCTAGATTAAAAGACTCAGTAATTAAAAATAATTAGAAATCTTACTGTGAATTGACAGAAAAACTCACACAATATGAGTGGAAGAACTATGATGTGCCCAGGAGTGGGGCTAACAAAGGAACCTTCTTTTCAAAGGAATTAGTTATTTTGTCATTGTAGAACTTTCAGAAGAAGGTATGTACTTTTAGGGTAGACAATGTATGACATTCTGATTAAGCAAACTTGTGGGACTGATTTGCATCCATGGACAATGATCATTCATGCAAAAAATCTGATTCACAATGAGCATCTGAACTGTCTAACTAAACATAGTAAATCTGCGCACAATTTTGGTAACTGAGATAATTACTCATTTGTAGAAGAGTCACTTAATTTCCTTATGCAGTTCCAGAAGCAGCACACAGACTAGATTTTTAAATATATATGTTAATGGATATGCAGTGGTGCCCTCAAAATTTAAAAGAAAAGGTCTAAACCAATTCACTTGTATATACTCTTGGTACTACTGTTTCATTTCCAAACAAGTTGCTCAATATATCTTTGTATTAGGTGTGATACAGGGTCTTAACTTACTAAAAAAAGATGTTAAGAAGCACAGTCCCTTTCAAAAGGTGCCATACTCAGACATTGCTTTCTTTCTACAGTTTATCTAAGTGTCACAATTTAACCTTTAAGTAACTGCTCCTAGTGGTCAGTTATATGAGGATTTTGGCAAGTGAAGAACCCTCCCATCACCACTGGAAGAGAGGGTCAAATCCTGCCATTCTTACTGAGGCAAAATCCCCATTGAATCTGACAGGAGTTTTGCTCAAGTAAGACTAAGGACAGCAGGATTTGGCTCACAGGATCATAGCATCTGCCAAAGCAGTTGCACAGAACAAGGTTTATTCTTAGTAAGTATAATCCAATAAGAATATGTCTGTAGGTGCGTGATAGGCCTAATTTGTCCATCATCTCTCCACTGGTCTATGTTGTTCTTAGATTTTACCGAGAGCTGTATACTTAAACCCGTTTTAAATTACCATCAAACAATTTGCAAAGATCAGCCATCTATTAAAGCTGACTTTTTAAGCACTGCCAAAGCAAAACTGCATGGGATTATTTTAAACTGGTTGCTTAACACAAAGTACTCTCCACTGGAGACAATATTTAGAAAACATTACATTGATTTTATTTTAAAAGGTTATCTAGCTCAGAAGTCCATGACATCTTCTGTTATTCTTTCTTGGTGGTAACAGCACACTACAATAATAATGTATACAATACACGCACATAAAAGTGTATTTTTGCATGTACGTTAACAGAAGTAGAAGTCCATAGTAGGTGACCAAGATTTAATGAATTGCCTCTTTCTGTAATATAGATGAATCAGGTTCCAGGTGAGACAGCACTGTTTCTTGGAAACATTTTCTTATATTTACCTGTTATTCAGTATCTTCAAAATGTAACTGATGAATTAAAACACTCTACATATACTTACAGGGAGGAGTAGAGGTTCTCACATGCTTGCCTTTTTTTTTTTTTTTAAAGGGGTGGATTCTCCTCTTCTGTATGCCATTATTTGCTCCAGTGTAGTTACAGTAACTTCAGTAGACATACTCAATATTTTTACTTGTTTAATTGAGAAGTAATTGAGAAGAATTGTTTGTCCTGATGAAATGAAGACTGAGTAAAAATAGGGAAAAGAAGGCACAGTATGTGTTCCTGCCAGAATTGGCACAGACTAAGAGTGGTTAATGACTGGAAGAAAGAAATCTTTGAAAATTCATGATGTTAAAGTGTTAAGGAAAATGAGAGGATATCTATTCTGATGATTATTCTCTCGGTTACCTTCTGAAGGAGACTGAATGCTGGGTACGTTTTGCTGCACTACACATAGCTAGAAATTCTCCAGAGAAGATGAACTCTATGTAGATACACTGTAATTCCATAGCTTAGAAAAGAGGGTCAGGAAGAGCAAGTATACATGAAAATTGCCTTTACAATAAACTGATTACAACACTCACCAATATCTCTTCTTTCCTGGTTATGCTACAATTGTTGCATGCATTTGCAGAGAGATACATATTGACTTGATCAGTCTTACCTTCTTTCAGCATGCCAACTTTTAGACACTTCATGAAGCGGCAGGCTTGGCAGGACTTGCGTCTGCGCTTTGTGATTTCACATTCATTCGTTGCTGGGCAGCTGTATTCTATGTTACCTGTAATAGAAAGTACAGGAAAAGGGAGGTATTCAGAATCACTAATCAACGCAATGGATATACGAAGTACTGATACAATTACTGTTGTGTTTAATTTTGGAATGTATCAAGAGTAAACAGTGCTATAGAAAAGAAACACCTTTCAAGTAAAAATGAAAAGCTGAGTTAAAGGATGAGCCTTTTGACTTTTTTTTTTTTTTTTAATCTAGACAGCTATATGAAAAAAAATACACAAAACTGCAATTAACATGAGTCTGTGTCTGACTCCATACATGGTCCCTAGCAAAATCCTTCACATAGATTATTCTTGCTGGTAGGAGGAGAAAATTTTGTCATTTATTGTCTGTACCAAGCCACATGCTTAGGCTCCTAACCTTAGCCCTCTTCATTTCCTTTTTTCCACGCCAATTTCATGAGTCTTTCTTTGTCTAGAATACGAAAAGGAGACTGTCATGCTTTATTGCACAATCAACTGTAACAGGTACTACAGAGCTTCACCCTTCTCCTTCCACAACAGCAGGCACAGGGTATCAGGCAGGGTTCACCAGCATTGCTACCACCACCCCGAGCACATTCTACAGCTGCCAGGTCAGATCTCTCAGCCAGGACATCTCCCCTTCTCTCTATGCTTTAGACAGAGTTCTTGTACTGAGAAGCATCAGAAATAGGATCATTCCTCTCAAGCTGTTAGAATAACAAAACTGGGGGAGATGCTTGCCTCTACCTCTCCCAACTCTCCTTAAGGCCTAGAACAAGCTAGATCCTTAAAATGAGCCCTCCCGGGCAAACCAGTGTCTCAATTTTTTTTGTTACTGCTCAGTAAATATTATTTATCCTCAAAAATAAGAAAAAACCCACCTGAAAATTAATGGGTAAAATACTTATGAGTAATTTTCTTTACATTTTTTAAAATCACATCTTTGGGTATCCAAGTCCAAATGGGAGAACATCTGTTCTCTTTTGCCCTAGTACCACTGCACTTTTCATAAAACAGCTTATCTCAGCTTATTCACCTGCCCAGCCATGCATCCTATTGCCCATACATTCAATATGACAGACTTTGCAGCAGTCCAAAGTTTCACCAGGAAACTGACTTTTAAATAAAGTATCTTCCCCATCAGCCTGTCACATCTTGCTTTAAAGGTATTTCTTTATTTTCTAACCCTTTCCCCCTGTGATTAAGTGCATTAGTATCTTAATGAAAATGCATTCTGTTTATTGCCCTCTTGGGAAGCAGGAGGTCATCACACCAAATGCATAAATTGTCATCAGAGACAGTCCGAGCATAATTGCAATTTTGCTGCTCCATGTTTGCTGCACTCAGGGTCCGTCAAAGTCCCCTGAAACATGCGCAGGTTCTAATAATTAGCATAGAGTCTGCCTGGGACCACAGCATTGATGAAATATTTCAGAGTTAATCACACTTTGTAAACACTGATTTATATTGACTACCTTTCTCCAGACTGATGTCTCCTCATTAAATATCACATTAGTGGATTGCAGGATTGCACAAAGACTCAAATGCTCAGCAACTGCTAATTCAACAGGAAGTAATACTTAAACTACTTACACCTATTGAAAATTGCTTAAGTATTTATGATAAAGGAGGTCTGCATGGCGCAATGTATATTCTGCCAATACAACCAGCATACTTTGCACAGCCTTTTCAGGCCTTTGCAGGCTTTCTTCCTCCTGAACATTCCTGCATGACTGACTTAGCAATGCTGGTGAGTAAAACAGATCTTGGTATGTCTGAATGCTAATGGTTCTTGCTGGGAAAACTCAAACTTCAGTTTAGTCCTCTTCCCCTTCTTTAGCTCCTGAGAAGAAAGCTATTTAAGAAACTGAAGGATACGGCAGGTAGGAAATTCAGCACGACAGTTCCTGCAAAACTTCTTTCCGATATGCATCAGCGAAGTAAGGAAATAACATTTGTGGAAGGATACGTAGGAAAGGATGGTAATGGCAAGCTTAAAAAAAGATTCACATTATCCTCTCACACTCTAATGAGGCATTCTTGGTGAGGCACAACGACTACACAGTGAGACCTTCAAAGCCTTTCACAAATTGTATCTAATTAACTTCATCATATTATAGTAATAAATGTATTACCAACCCTATTTAAAAAAAAGAAACAAAATCAGAAATGCTTTGCACAAGATCAAAGATATCTTTGCACAAGGTCAGAAACGATCTTGATCAAAAACAAGATCGAGATTACAACACAGAACTTCAAGCAGCAAAGCTCTGTACCAAGGCAAGTGGAGCATTCCCACTGCAGCCAGAGTCCTTGTGCAAAGGCACAGATTACAAAGGTACAGATGTCAACACCAAAAAGTAGCATTCAAAACCAGAAAAATATAAGCAAGATTGCTTATCCATACCCTGACATTTCAGTTTTGCGCAAAATCCTGTGAAACATGGCAAGGGTCTGTAGTGTGCAGCACATTATGCACCGACAATGCAACTTCTTTTTCCTGCAAACTCTTGCCACCTAAAGAACTCTAAAATGAGCTATTACTCTAGTCACTTAGATTCCAGTACTTGAGCTTAGAGGGGCAATCTTCTCCTATCAATTTAGGCTACTTTACTTTAATGAACTGTATTTTACAGCAGATGTTCAATCTTAATTTTTGATGTTAGAAAATAAACCTGGAAGATGTTGGAAAGAGTTCCTCCAATGAACACAGCAGAGTTACAGTAACTGCATTTATTGCTGCAGCAAAGATCCGCATCTTACCAATGGCCACAGTTGGTTCCCCTAAAGTGTTTCAGCATTTTGGAATATGGCTAGACCACAGCAGGAGTTCAAGGAACTAACATTTTGTCACCACTTCACATATGAATGCAGTATTTTATCAAACATCCCCATGGATAGACTTAATTTCTGCCAGTGAGCTTTCCTTAAAAATAAAAAAAAACACCTAATGGAATTTTGCAATGGTTATGTACCTGGACATATATCACACTCAAAATGCATTTTACCTAGCACTCAAAGTATTAGTGGATATATTTTTGGTAAAAACATAGATTTACTGCACATTGCAGGTCATTAGAGCTCTCATAATATCTTATTTACTTCTATACCTTAAAAATAAAGAAATTATTTGAAGGAGTGTTTGGGAAACTCTACAATTTCATAGGTACACTACATACATTCAAGATGCTCAGATTTGCATTTTATTTCAATGAAGAAGATTCAGAAGGAAGCTCTACCATTTACTTGTCTACTGCATGATGCTAGAGGCTGAAACTGAGCAGCTAGTAAGAGCATAAGTTGAGTTTGCCCAGTCCTGTCAACAGTTGGAGAGGTAGCTGTGTTATTCAAAATCAACATGGCAGCTCTGAGTCTTTACACTGGGCTGACAAGAACGATTGAGCAATTTGTAATATCTCCTGGCTGGTTTTCAGAAAGGACTGGGCTCTGATTACTTATTTCTGAGTCTTTTGTACAATTAGTTTGCAGGCAATATAATTTTCTCACTTACTCCTTAATAGAATCGTGCAGCTAGCTGGCTGATAGAATAACAGCATATATGTAAAACTCCTGCCTGAAGTGCCAGGGGATAATTTGTATATTCCTTTCAGTAGCGTAATGGACTTTTACAGTTTGGCAGTTAAAGGGCTGAGTAATGTAAATTAGTATGACGTTTGAAAATAAAAATATATGTCAAATCTTCACTCCCCAAACACATTGCCCTGTGCTGTAATAATACAACAGGATTTATGCCAGCCTGAGTCCCTTTTCTCTCCTCATGCACTAAGGAATGTTTATTTAAAAACAGTTCCTTTTTTATACTAATTTGTTAAATTTTATTATCTCAGCCAAAAGATGAGAAAATACTTCTAACACGCTGTGCCTATCAGGAGCAACTGACTCACTAAAAATATGATGCCATTTGATCTTGAGATAGCAGATGAACTGCTAAAACTTACACTGCATAACTGGCTCTTTGGTTTTACATGCTTCAGACTGTCAGATCTTTACACACAGCTCAATGATAAGTGGTCCAAGATACCATTTTTTTCATCTCACAGGTGAGGTTTGGAGGTTACCTGAATGAGATGTGGAGTCATAGCACAATTTTAATGGTAGAGGGAGTTACTCAATGGCTTTACAAGCCAGGCAAACGACTGGATTAGCTAAGATTCTTGAGACCATTTTGGCCATTTCTTGCATGGAATTGAAAGCGACACTCAAGGCAACAGCAGAGGAGGAGTGAGAACCATGACAGAGAGGCCACTGAAAGCACTGGGCCTTATACATTGGCGTCTTATTCAAAATGAAGTTATTGTCATCAAGAGTTACAACTTTAGAACCTCACAGATATCAAGAGTGCAAAGCTGGCTCTAGAAACTGGCTCCAGCCTGTGGGAACAGGGGTCTCTCTTCCAGAAATACTGACAAGAATAGAAGCTGCAGACAGCAATTCTTAGCAGAAGCTTTATTTCCCTTTTTACACTGTGACATTTGCTATTATAACACTGAAGATGTAACAGTATTGCTGTGAGCTATTGGAATATGCTCAGAAAATCTTTGGACAAGTAAAAGACATGAGGAAGACTGAGATACGGGGTGAAAAAGCATTTGGAAAGAGTAGCCATGAGCCACTTAGAAAAGCTGGAGGAATGCTGAAGATACCAGTACTGAAACTATTACTGTGTGGGAATGTAGGTCTGGGGGGAAAAAAAAAAAAAAAAAAAAAAAAAAGAAAAAAAGCAAACCAATAGAGGGGAATTAATTATTCCTTCAATGTAATAATTTTATGCTATTATCAGCTTCTGAAACTGTATTTCACTATCTCTTTATTTATATTCAGTAATGCCCCATTTTTCTCACAAACTTTCTCTTTGAGCTTCTGTAACCTAATACCTTTTTTTTCAAAAACTTGTATTTAAAAAGCAAGTGTTCTCATTATTCTTAATAGAGGCTACTGCATCACTGGATTTAAGTCTTTCTGCAGTAAGGTTTACCCCAGGTACCACCTTCACGCTCTGTCT